TTTAAGATAAAAGCACAGTTAGCAAGATAAGGACAGTTGGCAAGAGGCCTGCCACGGCCATACAGTTTGAAAGCAATATAAGTGTCTGTGTTTATTTGGTTGGGTCTGAGTGGCTGTGGGACTGGCGGGTGACAGAGGTTTGTCCTGACTGTGGGCAAGGCGAAAAAATTCAAGCTACACAATCACATCTGTAGGAATGTTTAGCATAGTTATAACAGTTTTATATCCTCTCTTATGTATGATAGAAAATCATTCTTTAAGAGCGAGTTAGCTTGTCACTACTATAATCACTGCTATCAGCTCACAAAATATAAAAATACCCCTTTACCTAAGATTAAACTTCTATTTTCTGGTAACATCATTCAATGATGTACAGAATTGCCATTTCAAACAAGAAGAGTATTTTATGTGCCCTTTTATTATGTGAACAAGTGTATATAATTAAGTTATACACACATTAAATTATTTTTCACTGAAAATATGCCACTTGATCTTCAGAAAAATATGTAGGTCTAGTACAATTATACTTAAGTAAAGATTATTCACATTTTATGCATGATAGCAACACAACTGAATATTCTTTAAAGAAATAGTTAAAGGACCTTTAGGATAGAGCTAAGGCTATTCCTAGAATACAGTTTACAGATATGATTGCATCTACAAAAAACCCCAGAAAGATCTCAAGCAAATAACAATGTGTATCTTAAGGTCTAAGAGAAAGAAGAACAAACTTCAAAGAACTAAATGACAAAAATAACAAAGGTCCAGGGAAGAAATTAATGAAATAGAGACTAAAAGAATAATACAATGAATCAAAGAGTTGTTCTTTGAAAAGATAAATATGATTAACACACCTTTATCCAAACTAATAAAAGAAAGAAGATCCAAATTAATAAAATCAGAGATAAAAAGAGGATATGTACAATGTACGTACAAAGCACATACATACAAAGTACCTAATATACATGCAAAGTACAATGAATGTAATATACAAAGTACAAAAATGTACTTTAAAATCCAGTTCAATGAAATCCAGAAGATTGTTAGGAAATGCTTTGAAAACACAACCCTTGGACATCTAAAATAAACAAGTTATTAATCATATATTATCTAATATAGTTAAATCAAGAGAGTACAAACAACTTAAACATCCATAACAGTCAATGAGATTAAAATAGTCATAAGAAGCCTGTCAACAAAGAAAAGTCCCAAACCAGATAGTATAGACCTCTTTTTATGACTCACTAAATGGATGCTAGGTTAGTGTTCCACATAGAGATCACCTTAGTTAGTTATCATGCTGGATTTGGCAAATGATTACTTTCATCCCTTGTCCTTACCTTGAACTCACCAGAGGAGAACATGCTGATGTAATTGTTCACCATCTTAAACACGAATCCCCGGTCCATAAATGTAAAGCAGCGCTAAGAAGATAAAATTCCAAAGTCACGTCTTTTTACTTGAGGGATTTTAGAAAAGATAATTGTATACTGAAGCAGTGTAATAATTAACTAAGTGTGATATGTGTTTAAAAAAATCTATAAAGGATGTTAGAACACCCATCTGCATATAGCAAGTAATTAAAACACCATAGATAGTATAAATGCCTGAAATTCCATATCCACACCTATCGGCTGTTTAAAATATTGCTTGAAATCTCACAATGAGCTATTTTAGACTTTTTCTTTCATATAGAAAGCTGTCTACTTTTTAATTACTTGGTTACATTTTATTATTGTTTTTAGTACATTGATCCCAGAGTTGCTCGGGTGGAGACCATCTGCTACACACTGTGGGTGGGATGGGAAGTGGTAAAACAGGCCAGCAGTCTTTTCATTCTTAATGGCTTCCTTCAACAGGGGACTGTTCTTTATTTCTTCCAGGGAAGCACACATTTGAAGAAGAAAGAGAGAAGATCCTGCCATTTCTATCAGGGAGCTGTTTGTATCTTGCTTTTTCTGTTGTCCAGATCCTGTTAACTTAGCCAGGAAGGTCTTAGGTCAAATTTATAATGGGCACGTTGATGGTTCTAGAATTTGTCCTTTTCGGCATCTGGCAAAGCTACTGGTTCTATCAGTTCCCTTTTCACTCTGGACTCTGGTCCTGTAGCCCCGCGGTAGGAACTGGTTTATGATGACCAGTAAAAATAATTGTGGGGAAACATTCTTTTATTCCCCAAGTACAGGTTATCTAGCCAAACAGATTAGATATATAGACCTTCCCTTGTAGAAAGTTGCTTAGCCAATTAATTTTACTGTTTAGAATGTTTTTAAACACATTTATTAATATTCGAGGTCCATCTTACATATTGTATTTTCAAATGGTTTTCAAAAGCTAGTTGAAATAAAACAGGGATCAGGCAGATGAAGAGGCAGCAGAACATGGACACTGAACAGGAAAAGCAACATTTGCCTTGACGTTATGCTACAGAAGAAGAGCACGTGAACAGATGTGTGTCAGAAAGAGTTGAGACTCAGTTTGGTAGGAAAAGAAAAAGAAAGGGAAAAACAGAAAAGCTATACAGGTTGCTGAGCTGTGGGCCCATGTAAGACTCATCTGCTTTAAGGAGAGAACAATAAACACACACAAGATTTTGGCACAACACTGTGAAAATGGTTCGTTTCATGATGTAGGTTGAGGGAGGGTACCTGAGAACCCAGGGCATGTTTATACCCTCAAAGGGCTTCTTCCATAGAGTCTGTCCTTGTGCTGACTGGAAAACCAACTAGCACAATTATGGTCTTATTAAATACCAATAACTGACAGTTATTTATGGCTTAGATCTGGAATGACCCACCCTGATCTGAGCATCACATCTTAATTAATCAGTACCCATGTTACCTTGTTATTTTGATGGTTATGGAGCCTTACCTTTAGGACCTAAGGCCTGGCTAGTGGGAGAAGGTTGATAGGGGTGGGACTCTGAAAGTTCTACCCTTGGCCTTCCTTCTCTGTTCTGTTTCCTTGTGTCAGCCATGTGAACAAGTTGCCACACACTCCTGACACCAGAGAACAGTAGTTCTACTTTGCCTTCCCTCGGAAGATGGATCGTGACTCTGAATCCAGGAGTCAACAAATCACTCCGTAAGTTGCTCCTATCAAGGATTTTGTGACAGCCAGGAGGAAAGTAAGGACTGCTCTGACTCACAGTATTTGACTATTGATGAGGAATTAGACAACCAAAAGTGGGAAACATTGAGAGCCTTCTTGAGGAATGGCCATTAACAGATTTCTGGGAGTACAAGAGATTTGTAACGCAACACCAAGGGGGCAGTGCTGGGGTGGGAAAGGTCAGGGCTCCTCAGTTCCTGGAACTGGGCCAAATCAAGACTTTCAATTTTACATTTTCCAAATCTGGTTTTTGCTCCTTTCTTTTTCGCTAGTATTTTCTTTTTTTTTTTTTTTCCTTTTAAAGGTTTTAATATGTACTTAAAAATGGACAATTCGCATCACAGTTATGTACCTGTGACTTTGTTAGCTGTGAGGATTATGCATTTTTCCAGTAAAACAGATTCATGCTTATGAAAGTCACTATACATCAAGTTGTGACAAGAGAACTCACAGTAGGAATAGTCCAAGTAGCAAAGAGGGGGAGGCAGAGAGGTTATAAAGCGGTCACACCGTTGACACAAAAGAACAATAAATAAATACACATTTCTGTATGTTGAAGGCAATTCACAATCATTTCCAGGAATTCTGTGAGAATTTAAGGCCATTTGTTCTAAAGAAATTTAGACATAACTTCACAAAACTGTAATTCGTATAAAAACTGTACAGTGAAAACC